CTTGGAGCTTGCGGGAGAATCGAGAGTCCTGCGGGGGGGATTGGAAAAGGAAACGGCGCGTTGTAGGGGCGAGGGGCAAGGGATGTGGAAGGAAGGTGTGAGCAGGCTGGGATGGGGCTGAGAGGAGATGCTTTTGTCTGACGATCTCAAACAAATAGATCTATTTTTCATCTCCAAAACATGCTGGCTGCAGCAGCAGGACTTGTGGGGTTGTACGGGGTCTGTAGTGCGGTGTGATTCCTGGTGTCTCCATCAGCATCTGTCCCTTTCCTGCACCCTCGCAGGCAGCAAGCTGCAATCCTGGAAGACTTGGTGACAAATGTGCCCCTGGAGTTTGATTTCCTCTTCTCCAAATCACATGCAGAAGTGATCTCAGGGAAGCAGGAAGGTAGGAGCAGCCACAAAGCACTGCTTGTTCCTCTTTGGTACATTGTTGTAATGACCTTTTCTGTCTTATGAAGGTGTCTATGCGTGGATTGGCATCAACTTTGTCCTGGGACGGTTTGATCATGAGGATGGTGAGTCTGGCTGCTTGCAGAACAGCTGGGAGGGTCTAAGCAGAGCGTGCTGGACTTTGTACCAGTGCTGTAGCTGAGATCAACCTCTGGAGCAGGCAGCAGTGCGACTCCTGTCATAAGTGTGAAACTCTCCTAGACCTGGGAGATGATCCTTGCAGGTGGCCCCTGGGGTCTGCCTGCGGGGGGGGAGGAGCCCCATGAGGCAGCTGTGGGGTGATGGTGGAATGGTGATGCTGTGGATGGTGATGCTGCCCCAGGCCCTGCCTCTTGCTGACACGCTGCTGTGGGTTGCAGAGGAGGATGCAGTGGTCACCGTAGCACTCGGGGACCAGGGGAAGCCCCTAGTTCGGAAACGAACAGTTGGAATCCTCGACATGGGAGGCGCCTCCCTGCAGATTGCCTACGAGGTGCCCGACTCCGGGGCCATCTCCTCCCCACAGCAGGTGCGTGTCTGGTCCCGAGAGCGGCTCCTGCCTTCCCTGGACTGCTGCTGATCTTGGACCCATTTGTGTCAGCAGGACGAGGCTGCTAAGAGCTTGCTGGCAGAATTCAACCTGGGCTGTGACGTGCAGCACACTGGCCACATGTACCGCGTCTACGTCAACACTTTCCTGGGCTTCGGGGGCAATTTTGCCCGGCAGCGATATGAGGAGCACGTGCTGAACCAAACCTATGTGCACAACCGGTATTGCTGCCTCACCCAGTGGTGCCCCCACTAGAGCCTTGTGAAATGGGGTGCTGGTTCCTCCATGCTGTGCTCTCCCCTTGGATTTGCCTCACGAGCTGCCTGTGGTGATAACAGCTCCCACAGCCACGCTGGCAGCAGCTGGTGCCTGGGCTGGCACAGAGGGCTTGGCTGCTGCTGTTCTCCGAGCCTGGCAGGCGTTATCAGTGCCACAGCTCCCTGCCTTCCTCCTTCTCTCCTTGTGACAGGCTACAGGGAGGCCCCTCCTAGTGGCTTTTGGCTTTTCCTGCTCTGACTTCCCCTCCTCCAGCACCGATTCACTCAGCACATCTTTCCATTGCATCCCCACCTCGAGCTCTCCTGTCTCCTGTCTCTCCTTTCCTTCCAAGAGCACTACATGAAGCTGTCGCCAGAGGTGGAGGCTTGGTGCCCAGGTACTCCTGTGCCAGGAGCAGCCCCTGCCTCCAGATCCCCAGGGGCTGTGCAGAGGCACAGAGCCCCATGAGCTGGGTGGGGTGGGCTGTGCCTTGCTGCACCCTGCAGGTGCTCAGAGCGTGTAGCTGCAGGCCAGTGTGACAGATCTGGTGAGTTCAGCCTTAGCAGAAGGTGGCAGGGCAGGCACCAGCTCTGCAGGGTACAAGAGGACACAGCCTGGTCTGGTGCAGAGGGTATCTGGATGTGGGCCAGGGCTAGATTAGGCTTTTGGGAGATGGTATAGGACCCCCTGTGCAATTGCCATTTTTTGCTGCACTGTTTTCCAGCCTGCACAACCAGCAGACAGGGCTGAGCCCCAAGATGCCCTTCTTGGACCCCTGCCTGCCTGTGGGGCTGGAGGACACAGTAGTGAGGGGTGGCCAAACCCTGTACATCAGGGGACGAGGGGACTGGCAGGCCTGTGCAAAGCTGCTGCAGCCCCTCCTGGCAGGGTCCAATGGCAGCCATGTCTCCCTGGTGGAGACCTACAAAGCGCCCATCGACTTCAGCAACAGCGAGTTTTACGGCTTCTCAGAGTTCTTCTACTGCACCGAGGACGTGCTGCGCCTGGGGGGCCAGTACAGCGCCCCTGCCTTCACCTCTGCTGCCCAGGTGGGTGCCGCCCCAGCCCAGGGCAGCTGGGGCTTGGGAGTGAGGGCGGTTTCTGTGCTCTGAACCCCAACTTCTCCTTCCCCAGGAGTACTGCAGCCAGCGATGGGAGGTGCTGACCCAGCGTTTCCGTGGCGGCCTCTACTCGGCGCACGCTGACCAGCACCGGCTGAAGTAAATGGGCTGGCTGGGAGGTGCCATGGCTGGCCCTCCTGGGGGCCTTTTGCTGGGGTAGGGCACTGCTGCAGCTGTTAGTGTCTGGCTGATGCTCCTGTGTGCTCTGTCTGCAGGTATCAGTGCTTTAAATCAGCCTGGATGTACCAAGTCCTTCACGAGGGCTTCCAGTTCCCAGTGGACTATCCCAGCCTGCGCACGGCCCAGCTGGTGTACGACCGGGAGGTGCAGTGGACCCTGGGAGCCATCCTCTACAAGACGCGATTTCTGCCGCTCAGGTACCATCAGGTGGTGTCACACAGGGAGGGTGGCTCGGGAGGAGCAGCAGTACCTGCACTGGTGAGGGCTCTGCACAGACCATGGTGGTACCCCACTGCATCTCATGACCAGTCCTGATGTTCCTCTCCACAGGGATCTCCGTCAGGAGAGCATCCGGCAAGCACACCCCTCCTGGCTGCGCCTCTCTTTCGTCTACAACCACTATCTGTTCTTTGCCTGCATCCTGGTCGTGGCGCTGGCCATCGTGCTCTACCTCCTGCGGCTGCGCCGCATCCACCGCCGGCAGCTGCGCTTGGCCCAGCGCACGCTGCTCTGGCTGGACAAGGTGGTGGTGCCGCTGGGCCCGGGGAGCGTGCCGTGATGCCAGAGGTGCCCAGCATCCAGTTGCACCAGCAGAACCAGGACTGGCTGACAGCCTGGGCTCTGAGAGCTTGGACTCCTCCTTAGGGACCATCTCAAAGTCTGTGCTCCATTGTCTCTGCGTCAGAACCGGAGTCCGTGGGCTGAGGCAGCTATGGACACGAGAGCTTTCCTCTCCACCTTGCCCCAGTCCTAATCTTTGCATTCCTTGGCCTCTGGCCTTTGCCTCACTACATGGTGTAGAGCAAAGTCCTCTGCCACCAGCAGGCTCAAGGCTGCAGCCCTGGCAGATCCCTCAGATAACAGGATGCTATCACTGAGGCAGCCAGCCCAGAGCTCTGGCCTGAAGTACTGAGCCACCCCATGACTCAGCCACCAGGTTGCTGTGGTTTATCGCCTGGGGTGGCCTTCTGCAGGCCTTGACAACCCAGGGGCTGAGAGAGCAGCAGACACCAGCTAATTACTGCAGGAGCAAGGTAAACCATGAGTTCCACCAGGCGGCTCTGCCCAGCCTGGCCCCTCTTGGAGTGTTCCTGAAGGGGTGTCCTGCTCTTTGCTATGTCTTCTCTCTGAGGACAATCCTACCCAACATCCCAGACTGAGCCCTGAGGGCTCACTGATTGATTCTTGAGGCACCACCAAAGTGGGCTGTCTCCTTTCACGCATTCATTCCCTCCTGGGCACAGCTGCCCTGTGCTGTCCCAGGCACCAGTGTCAGGACCTGTGGTTTTTTCCTCCACCAGGGCGGGCTGGGCCTGCCCCTGGGAGAGCCCCCCCAGCCCAGCCCAGCCCAGCTCTCAGCCCCAGGACAGGCCAGGGCTGAGCTGTGCACACAGGCACGAACCTTCCCTGGGGCTGGAGCCCCACCAGTGGTCCAATGAAGTTTGTCACTTTACTGAACTCAGCTATTCCCGTTCCTGTAGCAATAAAGAAACCCCTTGAGCCATCCAGCACTGTCTCCTTTCCTGGTGAGCAGCTCCCAGCAGCGATGGCCCCTGGCTGGAGGCATGGCAGGGTGGCTGCATGGCTGCACAGCTCTGCTGCTGCTTCCTACTGCCACTGTGGGATGATGGAGGTCCTTTCCTGCCAGTTTTGTTCTGATTCCAGCAGGACTGAGCTTAACTGAGCTGGTAGCAGCAAGGGGAGCTCTGAACCAAACCAAACTGCTGGGATCCTTGGAAACAGCATACTTAGCTGCCCTCTTCCTAAGAGGAAAATCCTGCTCACTCAGAATCCCCCCAGGATGTTGGTCTCTGCTTTTTACCTCATTCCCCACCTGAGTCTTAGCTGCCTGGCAAAGAGGCTGCTGAGCTGCTCCAGCACCATGGAAATGGTCCCAGCACAGCTGCAAGAGGCTGGGCAAGTACCCAGTTCTCTCTCAGCACCCACAGTTCCTTCCCTGTGACCCTGGTCTCACAGCATGCGCACACAGGTGCCATCAAGGATAAAAATTTCCAAGCATCAGTGTGCTGCCGACCTCCTGCTCAACAGCTGAGGATCCCAGCCTTGTTCTCATGGTGCAGGAACAGTGCTGGCAAAAGGAAAGGCATCTGAATAAGGCCAAGACTTGCTCAGCCTCAGAGCAGCAAGGGACTCAGCCTCCAGCATGACTTACTAGAAAAAGGGTTTATTTCCACAACACAAGTTAAATGACACAGACAAATAAATAAATACAGATAAATTATCTGATAAATAAGGGGAAACCTGAAACACAGTGCCCTGCTTGGCTCTTCTCAGAACCTGGACCTATCTTGTGGTGGAGATACCTAAACACTACTGCAGCTGCCTCACTGCACAGGTGGGAGGCAGCCCTCTCTTCATCCCTGCCAGCAGACCCCAGTATCTCTCTCACCACACCCAGGGGGATGCTGCATGCTCCTCCAGGGTCAGCCCTTTGTTCTTGCACCCACAGCCAGAACATGCCTTAGCAGGGACCACCCCCACCCCAGGGCACTGCTCACTCCACAGGGATGCAATGGCTCCTGTGTTCTCATGCAAACAGAAACCAGTGGATGTGATGACCAGGGACAGGGCAACTAGTGGGGCAACTTGGGCTACGAGCAGGGGTTTCACGTGGGGGCTAGGGCTGAACACACCAAGAGGGCAGGACAAGCACTGCTGGGGCAGGATTGGCTGGCACCACACACAGATCCCTCACAGGATGGTGCCCAGTCACTGCAGCCCTGGGCCAGCTGAAGGGATCTCTCCCTGGTAGCGTGGCTGCTCCTAGGGCTGGATCAGTAGGCCCTCGTCCAGGGATGCTGCCTGCTGTGCTTGGGAGCCCAGCCATCCATTGGTCCAGGCTGCAGTGCTCCAGGTGTGCTTGGGCAGCGGGTCCAGCCTCTGTCCAGCACCTCTGGGGGCTGTTTGGTACAGGAGGGGAGAGGCTGGAACAGCTACAAGAGCTAGGGGAGGGAGAAAGGAAGAGAAGTTAGCATATACCACATGCACGAGGGAGCTCCCACAAATTTGAGATCTACAGTGCTTGATGTGCTCAGGCCCAGCGCACAGCTAGCAGCCCCAGGCTGGGACCAGCTCAGCACAGCCACAAGGCACAGAAGCCAAAGCATTTCCCCCAGCCCAGCAAGGGCTGAGCTGCAGCTCCCTCCACAGGCAAATAGAGGCAGGCAAGCAGGGCCATCTGCCATCCCAGCTCCCTGGCCACTCACGGTGATGGATTTGATGGGGGTCTCTGCTGAGGCGCCAGCTCCCAGGGATCCTCACTCCCAGAGGAAGCGCACGTACCAGATGGTCTCGTTCTTCAGCTGCGGCCCGAACAGGGGGTTGGCCTGGGCCAGGATGGCGATGAGCCAGCTGCAAAGGGACGCAACCTGCCGTCAGGACCAGGAGCACCCACTGCCCCGGGAGCGATGGGCCCGGGAGGGAGGCGGGCCGCAGCCCGGGGACCAGCCTCCATCCATGGAGGACGCTGGGCAGCAGCCACCGGTCTCGGTGAAGGCAGGGGAGGTGGGGAAAGGGTCCCGGGCCCGGCCCGCGGTACTCACAACAGGTAACAGCACACGGCCGTGGTGACCAGCATCGTGATGATCACCCTGCGGAGACACCGGCGTTAGCACGGCAAGGCCCAGCTCCACAACCCCCGACCGCGACACCCCCCGAGGAGGCCC